TGCAGACACTGCAAGCTCTGTGCACAAGGTCAGAAATTTATGAAGGAGTCTGCCCTGACTGCATCTCAAAAAATTCCTCTTGTGGTCTAAGCTCCTTCTTTTGAGCTGTATTCAGTGGTATCCCACTTGCACAGTGGATTTTAAATAGAGAAGCGGCAACTGCAACCCTCCTGGGCTGCTGGAAAGAGGGGTTTCACCCTTCCATTGGGGACAGGACTGCATGACTGCTGAGGGGTAGTGTCTACTCATATGTAATTTCTTTATGTGACCACTGATGAAACCCACACTGCCACTGTGCCTGCTTCAGAAACTGAGCACATTTCTGAAGGAGATGTCACTCGAAAGCCAGTACGGGCATGAATTTTAATGAATGTATCGGGTTACCCACTTGAGATATTCCCAGCGATGGGATAACCTAACATTTGGGATAGCTAGGAAGAGCTAAAAATAAGGAGGAAGAGTCACCATTCAAGATCAAACTTAGAAAAAAGCACAGCACATGATTTCTTTCCTGTAATAGTGTAAGTATTCAAGAAGAATGTACTTGGGTTAAATTATTTCTTCAGATGGAGCTCCAAGACAGTATTTCCCCATATTGAATATCATTTTGTCAGGGATAAGTGGTCAAAGATCTCTCTCTCCCAGCCAGATTGAGAACATATGGAAAGACAGTCTTTAAAGAAATAGGAACAACAGAAAAAGCAGCTAAAAAGAAAGGGTCTGTCTTGAGTTACACAAACGTGATGCTGTGGTTCGAGTGGCACAGTTTTTTCAGAACAGTTTGCAAGTGTGCAACAGGCCTGGAGAAACTCCAGGTCCAACTGGATAGAGAAGATCTTGCAAGACTGCTTGAAATGAAACTACGTGAAGACTGCTGAAAGTGAATCAAAATCTGACAGAAGCCAAAAATGCTTCTGATGCAGCAAGGGACTGAAGATGTTGGGCATGCAGCCTGCAGGAAGTACAAGCTGTGCTGACTGACTATCACAGAAATTCTATCTTCATGAACACAGCTACTGATGGGATGTCATCAAGAACTGCATGAGACTCTTTCAATGTGATGGCTTTTTGAAGTCATTCTCCAGCCTAATGCAAAAACTTCATACTCAGGTGGAGCATCCAATTGCTGTGTTGTGAAATGAACTCTGAATAATCAAAGCTGAGTAAGCAACTGAGGAGACAACTGAAAAATTTGTCTTGGCTCAAAAAATGCTACAAGAGTGACTGTGACTCAGTCATCCTGAATTGATAGGAACCAGTAGAAAAGTTTCCAAGCTGACCTGTGTTGCAGTGGAATCAAGCAAATTTAAGTCAGATGCACTCTTAAATGTGTGGAATATTTTTTCACTATAGCCCTTTGGGGGATTTTAAAATACTCCATTTTCTCTGCCCCTAAGTTTCAGACATAGAGTTCCAAGGAAGCTATCTGAAAAGCATGACTCCAAGACAGTCAAACAGCAGCTCACAGGTCCCAACCTGCAACCTCCTACAAAGTTCATTGCCTTTCTACAGCTGGCAGATTCCACAGCTCTGCATCTCCTGTTGCCAGTTAGCATTAAAATAAGTCTGCGTTACAATTAAGGTTTTAATAGTAGTATTCTATGGCAGGAAATGGAAGAGGTGGACACTATCTGTGAACATATATTTTTTAAATGAATCACATTCTAAATGAAAACTTACACAACCTAATGTTTTACATGTTGTGCACAAGACAACATTTCTGGTAATTTTTATGCTGCAGAATTGCATGTCTGTGCAACTGTATTGAGGCTGCAAAACCCAAGCTCATTCAAACACAGCTTGCAGTTTTTATGCCAACCTTTCAAATCTAAGTAGAATTTAAGCATCATGCTGGGAGTGGAGGAGAATTGAATGTTTCATTACTTCTTTCCAAATTTGAAAAACATCTGCTCAATTTGATTCTTGGTCACTTTTAACGGATACACAGTAGATGCGACAGATCCCTGCCAACAGCTGGCAGAATGGAAAACCGAGGACCTCACTTCCTCCTTTTTCCTCATTCTCAAAAGGTGAGGAAAAATGACTTGAAATTTGAGGTAAATGTGTTGTTCTCCCTCTACTCCCACTATGAGAAATACTTGTCGGTGGGTACGGCATTACAAGAGAAGCACCTCATTGCCCAGTTCATGCACTCTCCTAGACAATTTCTCACGGCTGCTGATTTTGAATGCAATATTCTCAGTTATAACTCTCTGTATGCTCACCTTAGCCTTCTGCCAGGGCTTTTCTGAATAGTTTATATAAAACTTCACAACACAAGATTTGGTAGACAAGGGCATCGAAAACCAGCCCGTTTCTGCAGTTTGCACTCATTCTCTTCGTTCTCTCTTCCAGTGTTGCCTTGAGAACATATGCTGCCTCAGCAACAAATATACAGGCAGAAAAATATTCATGGCACCCACCCATTCAGGCTCACATTTTCCATCATACTTCCTTAACGACTCAGTGAACATCCTTTTTTGCAACTACTGCTGCATGATTTACAGCAGTTGTTCTCTCAGACTTTCCTAAAACATACTGTCTCAGTACTGTAACTTTTTAATTGAAGAGACCAGGCTTACTATAAAATGGAGTTATCCCTACATTTGTTTCACCTGATTTCTGCGCATAGGGGGCTACATATCTCACAGAAAATGAGAGAACCCCAACACAGCACAGGTGTGGATGATCATTCAGTATCACTCTTTCTACATTTAAAGTAATGATTCAGAAATTTGTTTCTGCGGAGGTGAAAATCAACATCTCAAGCCATAATTTCCTGACGTTCAAGCCTTTATATTGGATACTCCTTCGGTTGTCATGAAAAAATAACATTAGTTGCCAGTACTACGTATTCAGCTATGAATTGGTGAATAAAAGTTATCACACCACCCATGGTAGTGTAATTTACAGAAACCACAGATGGTACATAGGCTATCAGCAATTTTATTAAATTACTCCTCTGCTTTCAATACAGGTAAACAAAGCAGAATCATCACAATCAGAGCACATACATGCTATAAAATTATTAGTTCACAGATGTTTACTTCCAGTACTGCAGAACTGAAAACATCCCCTAATGATAACAGCTTCCAGCAAACTTTGAACCAAACCACAATCTCTGCTTGGCAAGCCTGTCAACAGTAAGAAGACATCTATTTCCTGATTATTTTACTTCCACATTGTGCAAATCAAAGCGATGGCAAGGCAGAGCATGATGGTTTTGCTGATAAGGCCTCTCTACTCTCAGATTTCCGATTGAGGCACGGAAGGACTTACAGGACTGTCACCATGATATAAACAGTTGTATTTACAGAAAACTCATTAGATGTAGTTTCTCAGGACTGCAGACATTAATCAAGAAACAAAACAGGACTTTTTCAAAATGTCTGAAGGCAGTCACCACAAGTTATTGCACATTCTCCTGAGGAACTCTGGCCATCTGAAGTGTTCACAGGGACGACTTCACATCTCAAAAGCAGTGTAGCAGAAAGCAGCACACCACTCAGATACTTCTCAAAAGGAAAAAAAAAAATAAAAATTGTCACTTGTACCATCATCAGCCCTACTTCTGACAGCAACTCTGGTTTTCCACCAGTGTTTCCTATGCAAACTGACCCAACTTGGATACGCTGAACTTGAAATATACTGAGCAGAAAAGCAATAATAAGAAATCAGGAAAGTCATAGGAGAAGTAGGTGAAAGACACGAAGCCTCCAGAGGAAAGTTGTTGACTGAAGGACTTCCAGAAGGACAGAAATTCACTGTTATAGAAGCTAGGTTTATATGGTCAAAGGCTGGAGTAGATGTGGTGAGAGCCTAGAAGGGTCAGAGAACACCACAATGAGACCACAGAGCAGGCCACAGAAACTCTGAGTCTCACCAGTCCATGTCCTCCACCCAGAATGACCACTCAGTGCTGGTTGGTGTCACACACTCTGTTAGGACAGGGACAAAGACACCATCAGCTCTTCTAGTGAATAACACAGATGCAAATAGGAAGTTCTACTCTTCCACCCACACCTTGTGGTTTTGAGAGGGTTTTCACATGCACAACACACAAATATACGTGTGTCAAGGTAGCAGTTAAGTGACAAAACCAAGGAGGAAATTCTCTTAATACGGTCCCTTTGTGGTGATGAAATCAATAAAGCCGAACAGCATGTGTACACATCTTATCCTCTGGAATGCTCCCATCTTATTAAGTGCATTGTATAGATTCAGAGGAAAAATATACTGCTCTCTCTTGCTTCCTTCATTGCAGAAGTTGAAGGAGGTGGGGCAGACTAGGGTCCTGGGAACTCAGACACCAGTCTTTTAAGCTATGAATTATTCTTCTATGCCTCTAATTCGAGAATCACAGAATATTCACAGCTTGCCAAATGAAATCAATCATGATGCATTTGGACATAAGTGACATATAAATGTTATGTATTCTGAAACATTAGGTCTTTTTCACTTGAAAGACAAGACTCTTAAGGTGGAAGGTATCTTTGCCCTACATTTCCTGATTATCCATCTGCAAAAAGGATTGCCTTTTCTCACCTTTCACCTCAAAGAGCTGGAAGGAAGGAAGAAGAAGGCTACATATGTGAGGAATCTGGTACAAGGAAATTTAATAACACTGTTTTCAAAGCCAAGTACTAATTGCATACCACAAAGGAAAAAGGGCCAGATTCTTAAAGAATGAAAATCTCACATTAATAAATATTGGCTCAGTATGTAAGAGCACTATTTCCAAGCACACTGAAAGTGCAATCCTTTAAGAGGGGAAAAAATGACATAATTAGAAGATGATATATCATATGCATGACTGCAAGAGGGGCAAATAACGATCATCAAGTTCTCAAAAAAGCATGAGAAGTGTTTTCAAACATGGTTTACATGCAACACTCTGTACAATGATGACAGAATATATGTTGACAAGGTTATAACAATGCATGTTTTCATGCTGATTCCCAAAGAATAATGCAGTCAAAAACACACTTAAAATTCCATACCTTGATTATTTCCACCAACTGATCCACACCACTGTCACCTGGAAAGATTGGTTGTCCTAGTAACAGTTCAGCCAATACACAGCCTGCTGACCACACATCTAAAAAGCGGAAAGAAGTGGAGGACAGGGAAATGTATCAGTAAAAGTTAGATATTGGGTACATTACATATTAGGTACATTTATATAAAACCCCAGCAGTTTTAAGTTACTTTCTTCTTTGCCATGTTTAATGCTGTGTGTAACACAGCTAAAAATAAAAAAAAAATCCTCTCCAAAATATTAATCTAGAAAATACAGATACCTGGCGTAAAACAATGGCAGGGAAACAGTCTTAGAAGTGAAACCATAAGACAATGAGAACTGGAAAATAACGTTAACGCCATGATATATTGACATTAAAACTTATACATGTAGTGAAAAGA